ATTTCCCACCATATTAAATCATCTACTTAATAATATCATATACCCTTTAATAAATCAAAACCATTGTATATATTACCTGGGTTAATCAATAAATCAAACATATTCATAATAATAATTATTTTTTCTTTTAAGTCTAATTTTTAAATATTAAACAGATAAAATCCTTATTTTCAACTAATTTCCAAATATTTTAAATCTAATGACCAGAATTCCTCTTATCTCAACTTCTCCGTTTAACCCTCTAATTAATAATATGAAATCCCCTCTAATAAATCAAAACCCCAATTTTCTTCAGCCTTATTCTGGCTTTCTTCTTTTGCCAACTAGGATTCCATATCAGTCCTTTTAGTTTGTCAATTAGATCTCCTTCTATTATTCTATATGTTACTTGAAATAAAGGAAACCATTTAATTGTCATTTTTGGGGAAGGACTGGCCCATTTGTATTCATAAAGTTGTCTTCCTATTATTCCAATTCCCCATAATTGCCCTAATATGTTTATCTTCCATTCAATCTGTTCTTCTTTCTCAAATTTCTTCTGATTTATATAGAAAGTCTTTTCCATTTTCAATGTTGTCACTCCCTTTTCTGGATTTTCCATTAACTGTATTTGTTGGTTCATTGAGTCCTCTGTCTTAATATTTGATTGTTCCACTTCTTCTGTTATCTTCTGCATTGTTGGTTCTTTGGTTGTAGTCAAAGTCCAGTGTCCGCGGTGGCCGCAATGGCAAACTGGAAGTCAAACTTTATAAAATGTTTAACAATGTTTATTTTTTACAATAAAATGAGACGGTCTTTTTAAAACAATTTTTGTTAAGTTTGGGCTCTGCAGCCCTATCTTAGAATAAAAAAAGGGAGGTTTCATAGACAAGAGTATCAATTCTTAAACAAATTTGTAGCTCCAATAAATCTGGAATTCAGTTAACTTGGAGCTTCAGTTCAACTGGTAAACAGGCATATAATCTTTCTAACATACTGTGATTCTTTGCAGTAGACTTGTTACAGGATAATATGTTAAGCTCCTGCTTTGTTAATATGAAACAAAATTTGGCATGATTTGTTGGGACCTTAATGCTCTTAAATGTTTGTCCTGTCCTTAGTCCTGATTATCATAGTTATTAATTAGATAATGGCTTCCAGATGTTTAATTTATGTTAAAAAAGCAGAGGTATTTAATTTATCCAAAGTACAGTCTTTTACAGTGAACTGCTATTTTACTAAAGTGCTATTTGGTGATATATATAAAAATGGAACAATTATCTGTGCATCTGTGTTCAAATACTGAAAGAAGTGAACAAGTGTTGCTTTCAAGTGAGATGTGTTTCTAGATTATTTTTATGACCATTATGTTTGTTATTTAGTTGCTCCTTCAGTTGGAAAAATAGGTATAAATGATTTACTTTATTGGAATTAAACTCAATAAGAATTTTATTCGCTTAGGGTTTCTTGTTATTACTAAAGATTAGAATGGAGAACATAGGGTCCAAAGTTGAATTGTCTTCATCTAAAACCTGGAAGGCTAGATAATACAGTGGGGCAAGCTTTTGCAGAAGATAAATCTTTACCCAAAGGTTCCCTCTCCTGCTATCTTCTGTTGAAGTACAATTTTTTTTGTAATTGCTTTCCAACTCTAAACTGAGAAATCGCCCTTTCCTGTATTTTATCCTATTTTTTCTCTTTACAGAGAAACCAGTTGTATCCTACAGAATATATACTATGTAGCTCAGGGTTGAACTATGTAGCTCAGTTGGTGATCTGGTGAGCTTGATTATTTGCTTGCAGACTTTTCATTATCTGACTAGGTAACATCATCAGCACCAGTGAATGTGGGGTTTGTTCTCTGTTTATACACAGTAGCTTGCTTCACAAGTGTTGATGGAGTGTAGTTTTTTCCCCTTGGTAGTTCTCAGCTTTTGATTGTATGTTGCTGTAGTGTCTAGATGTTTCATTACAGTCTTATAATGAGAGTGGTGAGATTGGTGATCCTATGAGAAAAAAGAGGACTCATCTATAACATAGAGTGTAAGGAGTGTGGCCATTGCTTAGGATAAACAAATAATAGACTAGCAGAAGCATCTATTTACACCAACTAGCAGTCAGAAGACGCAATAAAAATTCCTTAATGTCACAAGTCATGGACAGACTCAACTATAGTGGCAGCTAAGAAACTGTGAGCACCCTGGACAAAGCTATTTTTTTTTTTAAAAAGAAGGGAATTTGCATTTGGACAAATCAGCCATCAATACCAGGTAGAGTAAACTATATTTACACACCATTCAAAAGAGACAATAAAAGCTAAGAAAGAATCTTAGAATCATCTCCAACTCCAGATAAGCAGAGATTAACACAGACAAACAATCAAGCAGAAATTAATATCCTAATCAACTATGGCTAAAACATTTGCCATACAGTTTCAGGAATTGGAGCAAGTATCTTTTAATTTCTTGGCTGCTAGGGGTGACTGAGGTGATCTGTTCCCCATTTGAGGAGCAGCCACAAAGAAGAGGGGGTCAACCTATTTTCCAAAGTACCTGAAGGCAGGACAAGAAGCAGTGGGTGGAAACTAAGCAGTCACTTGAAAAATCCTGTGTTGAAAGTAGAACTTTTTACATATAATTGTCAATAACCAGCTCAGCTTCTGAAAAAATGCTCTTATTTGGGAACACTGAAATGAAAGAACATTTGTCCTCTAAAGTATTGCAGATCAGTTGCTGATTAGAAATAAATTTTACTGTTTCAAGCAGAAAACTACAAAGAAGACAGTATGTCTCATCTCCTTTAAAGGTCAGTTGTGTGAACTTCTTGATCTTTTTATAAAGTAGTATAATATTGATGAAACACTTTTTGCTTATTCACACTACCTGTTATTACAGTATTCCCTTTTATTAAGATTAATATCACTTTCTTTTCTTTTTTACAACTTGTATGCCACAAACTTCTCCACTTTTCATTTTTCTTACTGTATATTAGTTTCTGTTGGTTTTTAATTTTTCTTAAAATTTCTAATAAATTTGTCTAGTTTCTCTTAATCCATTCTGGACCTCACACATATCAATAATTGTCAAGTTATTGCCTCCTTTTGAGGCAATACATTGAATCAGAATATTATTTCTTCAATAAAATTGATTCTTCATACCAGATTTAATATGATTTCTAGCCCTGTTTTGGAATGGAAATCATCTGATTCATTTAACCTTATACAAGCGATTCCCCCCCCCCTCCGAAAATCAAACAAACAATTTCAGCTTTTTGTTCCCACCTGGTGGTCATTTGGAGGTTTGCAGACCAAATCTGGTAGCCTTATATTCTTGAAAAATATTAGAGAACATATATCTCAACTATCTTCTATATTTCTGTTCTCCCCTGTGTTTTCCTATTATATCTTTTTCTTCCTTTTGCCTTTTCTGTAATTTTTTCTTCTGTCTCCTTTTTGTCTTTTTCCCATTTTCCTGTTTTAAAACATAAAATTATAAAACACAATTTGTATTAATTACAAATATATAATAAGTACCACAGAAATGGGAATTGGACATAGATATGATAGGAAAGTAGACAATCTGAATTCAAAATATGTTGAGGAAAAAAGAAACGATAAGAAATAAGTAATTAACATTTTCATTTTCACAGAAGATAAACTTCCATTATTCATCAGTCTTCAGTTGTGGGACAAAAGAAGCAAACCTCCCATCAACTTTTGTTGGCTAAAAAAACCTACGCTTTGGCTGCTATTCTGCTGATTTGTATTTTTTTTTTAAGTGAATTGTGGCTTAATAGTTATACTATTTAATCCTGGCTCCTTAAAGTCTGGAACCCAGGGAACCGAATTGCTCCAGATTCTTTTATATAAGACACAGGTAATGTTTTGAAAGCAAAACAACCAAGGGAGACAAATTTGAGATCCAGATAACCTTGGCCCACAGAAAATGAGATGAGAGTATGTATTTTAAACTAGCAAGATTAGAAAAAAAATTAAAGACCTTATGCAAATGTGCTCATTTTCTGTTGCATCGGGCTAGAAGTTGGGTGACTGAATTCTAGTCCTGCCTTAGTTGCAAAGCCAGATGGAGAAGGCAGATGAAGATGATTTTGGCATCTTTGCTCCCACACTCAATGAATAGACGAGAGCAGAGCAAAGAAGTTCTGTTAGGCTCCTCACCAGGCAAGCGTATTAGAGACAAGTGGCCTTAAAAAGCAGTTCTGACCATGCTGTCTTTGTTGGAAACAATGGCTGACCTCTGGCCTTTGATGTTTATGAGAGAAAGCTTGAACTTCTGGATTGGTGGACAACCCTGATCTGATTTTTGGGACTCTGGATTTGCTTTGGATGTTTCTTCTGCTCATTCCTATTTCAAAGCAACCTCTGTAGGCAAGCCCCTGCTTTATTTACATTCCTTTGATACTGTTTACCCTTCAGCCTTGAAATGAAACTGAAAATCTTCAGAGTGTCCAGGTTTGAGTGTGTGTGTGATGAAAGCTGGAGGCAGGCAAGAAGGAGGCAGTGGCAGACCACTTCTGAAAATCTATAGGAAAGAAAACTGTAGGGACTTGCCCAAGCAATCTCTGAAAAATGGTTTGAATGAGTGAATGGAAAAATAAAAATAGAATCGCAAAATGGATTTTAATTTCCAGAGACATAATTATAGAAATATAATTATAATATAGACAGCTATTGCATTTATATTACCTCAGGTGCTATTATACCAATGACGAGGTACATCACAGCCTTTAGCTATCATTCCTCACAACATTCATTACACGAGATGAAGTCATTTTAGTACAATGATGTTTTTGTTCATTACCTCTTTGAATTTTTAATTGACTTCATGAAAAGGCAATCCCATTATTCTAATTCAGGTTGCAAATGAGTTATAGATACACATTCTACTGCAGAGTAAGTTGAAAACAAATGTCTGTCTCTTTCTGTTGTTTAAAATATCCTATTTTGTAGCAATTTCCCCCCTATTTTATGCTCAGAAATCTTTTCTTCCTCCTTCCTTTAGCCTAAACCATGCCTCCAAAGGGGTGGAAGTTCTGCATCTCTGCACAATAGTGTAATGAGGAACAGCATTTTCCAACTTATGATCCACACACTTGATCCACTGGCTGAAGGTATCATTTTATTATTATTGTTGTTGTTGTTGATTTTTATGTTGTTCACTCACTCTGAAGTTAATGTTTACTAAAACTATCTTCCTAAGCACATATTTCTCTACTGTTTTCTGTGGGCACAGCTCTTAAATATATCTGATTAGCTCAGTAAAGTTTGTGTACGTGTAAAATCCTATTATGATTGAATATTTCTAAACGCCTGCTTTAAGATAGAAAGCTTACTGAGATTATTTCTCTACCCACTCTATCTTACCTTAAATTAAATTAATAAATAACATGGTCATAGTTTGGTGCATATATTTGCATATAAGTGCTCGTTCTAGTATGATTTTTATTTTCAGCATTTAAATTTGTTTTCTGAAAGTATGCTTGTATTTTCAAGGCCTGAATATTCCAGTTTTAAGACTCTCTCAAATGGAGATCCTTCAGTTTCATTCACCTTAATGCAAAATAAAAAGGTGCTATTTTTCCATTCTTCTACAGTTATCAGTTTGCAAATATTTTTAAGAATGGTTGGAGTGTACTTTATAATTACTATATTTCATTGTTCTAAAATGAAGTATGATACACATTAGCTTTCACCATGCTACTATTAGTCTCTCTTGAATCTGAACTTCAGCTTTTAAAAAATTTAAAGTGGAAACAGGAATAGTTGGATCGTATTTACCATCTTTAAAAAATCAACAAGGTTTATCATTCTCACTGGTATATTCTTTTTTTTTTCCTTTTTGAATCATACTAGTGCATCTGCTCTACTGTATCTATGGTAAACCACATACAAAGATCAGAATGTGTGCTTTTTTTTTAATGGGGCAATCTTGAAGGAAATGTTATTTATTTATTTAGCTATGGCATGTCATACATGTCATAGCAATATAAATTAACATTTCAGTTAGATTAGTAGAACCCAATAAAATATAAATATTAAAAAGATCTATGTTCAAATATCAATGTCTAGGCCAGTGGTTCTCAACCTGTGGGTCGGGACCCCATTTGGGGTCGAACGACCATTTCACGGGGGTCGCCAAACAAGGCTGTCTGCCATTTTTTCCCCTTTTCTTTGGCCATGCCCCTGGCACATGGTGATGTATAAGTGGTTGGGGGTCACGACAACATGGGGAACTGTATTATGGGGTCACGGCATTAGAAAGGTTGAGAACCACTGGTCTAGGCCATCTAATCACTGAAGCACATTATTGTTTATATTAAAAAAATAAGAAACTGGGTCTTGATTCATATGAATAATGCGTATAGACGTAAACAGATGCAGAAACGTAAAGAGTTGGAATCAGAGATTAAAACTAAGGAAAAGGCTCTTATCTTAAATCCATTGGATAACAATTTAAAGGTTTCTATTAGTTTGCTTAAGGAGCAATTTAATATGTTAATAGCTGATCAGGTTGCAATTAATTTGAAGTATATGAAACATAACATATTTTGCAATGCGAACAAACCTGGTAGGTGGTTGGCTTATCAACTACAAAAGAAACAAAAATCAAGGATTATAGAAAAAATAAATTATAAAGGTAAAGAAGTTTATCAACAAAATTTGATTAAAAGGATTTTTTAGATTTTTATTCAAAGTTATATGCCAGTGAAAACATACATGTTTTAGATATAGAAAAGTATTTACAGGAATCACATTTCCCTAAACTTCTGATCAAAGAGATGAGATTAATGGTTTAATTACTTCTGATGAGATTATTTGGGCAATTAAACAATTGAAAGTTGGTTAGGCTCCAGGTACAGATGAATTAACAGCAATTTATTATAAAATGTTATCTGAAGAAATGATAGAACCATTGAAGGAACTTTTTAATAATATTCTGTTGGGAGCAGAGGTACCTCCATCGTGGAGAAGGGCTTTCATCTCATTGATTCCGAAGGAGGATCAAGATTTGACCCAGCCCCAAAATTATAGGCCTATATCTCTTTTGAATACAGATTATAAAATTTTCTCAAAAATATTGGCAAATAGATTAATGCGAGTTTTGAAGCAACTGGTTCATAGTGATCAATCTGGATTTATATCTGGAAGATATATGAAATATAATGTTAGACAAATTGTTAATCTAATTGAGTATTTGGACAAGAACAATCAAATCCCTGCGGCTTTGATTTTTTTAGATGCTGAAAAAGCCTTTGATCAATTAAATTGGCAATTTTTACTCAGAGTAGTAGAAGAAATGAATTTTGGGGATAAATTTTTATTTGCCCTTAAGGCAATATATCAACAGCAATCTGCACAAATTATAGTTAATGGGGGTTTAACAGAAGCATTTAAAATTGAAAAGGGTACAAGACAGGGATGTCCTTTATCCCCATTGTTATTTGTTTTAACCATGGAGATTTTACTTATTAAAATTCGGGAGTCACCTAGAATAAAGGGAATAAAAATAAATAAGAATGATTATAGGTTGAGAGCTTTTGCCGATGACTTGCTTGTGACATTATCTCAACCAACAGATTCAGTTAGGGATTTGGTTGAAATTTTACGTCATTATGGGAAGGTTTCTGGGTTTAAGGTAAATAATAATAAGACTAAAATATTATCGAAAAATATGTCTATGAAAGAAAAGGATATTATAGTTAAATTAACAGGTTTTGAAATAGTGAGAAAGGTCAAATATTTAGGAATTTATTTAACGTCCTCTAATGTTAAATTGTATAAAAATAATTATGAGATATTATGGGTAAAAGTGCAAAAGGATTTAAATAATTGGAAAAAATTACAATTATCTTTGTTGGGGAGAATTTCGGCAGTTAAAATGAATATACTTCCAAAGTTTCTTTTTTTATTTCAGATGATACCTATTTTGAAAAAAGATGCCAATTTGGAAGAATGGCAGAAGGGGATTAATAAATTTATTTGGGCAGGGAAAAAGCCGAGAGTTAAATTTAAAATTATGCAGGATACACGGGAAAGAGGAGGATTAAAGGCACCGAATTTAAAATTGTATTATGATGCAGTGGCTTTAACCTTGATTAGTGATTGGCTCAACTTAACAAATAAGAATATCCTATCTCTTGAGGGATGGGATTTATTATGTGGATGGCACGCATATTTAATTTATGATAAAAAAAGTGGATCAGGTTTTTATAACCCATATTTTGAGAAGTGCCTTGCTGTGTGTCTGGAAAAAGTATTACTATAGGTTAAATTATAAAATTCCAATTTGGGGGGTTCCAGGACACGTGATAGAGGGAGTATCTAGGGGAGTAAATTTGGATAAGATTTCTTATAAGGAATTACTTAGTTTGGTTAGGCAGCATTGGCAATTAAAGCCTTTAACTGAATTGAAGCAAGAAAATATTGTATATTCTTGGTTTCATTATAATCAATTGTTATTGAAGTAGAATATAGATAAAAAGGTTGGTATTATTTTAGAGGATGTGAATTTGGTAAAACAGATTAAAGATCGAAGTCGATTTCATATAAAAAGAATTTATAATGCTTTAATAGAATTGGACTCTGAAACGGAGTTAGTTAAAGATTGTATGATTAAATGGGCGCAAAATATCCAAGAGCCAATTTTATTGGATACATGGGAGACAATTTGGGTTAGAAATGTAAAATTTACTCAAGCACAAAATTTAAGAGAAAATTTTTATAAAATGTTTTATAGATGGCATTTGGATCCCCAAAAGTTGTCCCGCATATATCCGAAATTACAGCCCAAATGTTGGAGATGTGGAAATTTAGATGCAACTTATTTTCATATTTGGTGGACTTGTAAAGATATTAAAGCTTTTTGGATTAAGATTTGGTGGAATATTAAAAGATTTTTAAGAAAAAGATAAAGTTTACTCCGCAATTATTTTTGTTGGGTATTATTGTAGATTTGGATGTTAAAGAAACTAATTTGATGTTGAACTTCATAACTGCTGCAAGATTATTGGTGGGGCAATATTGGAAGAAAAACTTATTGCCTCCTTTGGAAGAATGGATATTTAAAGTGTCTAATTTAGCAGAATGGCGAAAATCTCCGCCTATTTGAAGGATCATTCACAAGAAAGATATATTATGGTTTGGAGAAGATGGATTGATTATATTCAGAAGAAGTATGAAACTGAAAAGTATTATCTTGCTTTTGAATAGATTTTAGATAATTATTAATAGTATTAATGGTATTATTATTTTTGTCTTAATTTGTTAATATTGGTTTTGAGAAGGAGTTAGTGTGTTATGGTTTTGATTGATAGTTTAGTTGGTTTATGTTAGTTAGAGTATGTTTGTTTATTTGTTACCCTGTAATCAGCTCTGGGAAGTGGGGGAGGGGGGGAGGTGATAGGTGGGTTTATATTGTAATTTGTAAAACTTTTATATATATATAAAAAAAGAAACTGGACTGGTTATATGCCCTCAGCTTACAGTTGGTCACAGTGTGATCTATAATTTGACGTGGGATCCTGCAATCATACTGAGGGGAGAATACTATGCCCTATTTATTCAGAGATTTCCAGCAGATGGCATGTGAGGTGTGAATCCTTTTCAGAATTGAAGGAAACATACTTCAATTCACAATATTGGTGAACATCTGTAACTCAGGTGTAGAATGAAGGTGAAGATTTGTTCTCCGAGCTTGTGGGTTGGTTTCTGAACATTTCATTACCAGGCTAGGTAACATCTTCAGTGGCATTTAGGAGAAACCCTAAACACCGCTGAAGATGTTACCTGGCCTGGTAATGAAACGTTCGGAAACCAACCCACAAGCTTGGAGAACGAACTTTCACCCTCATATGTAATCCCTATGCTATAATAAGATGAAACTTCCAAAAACCTATTGTCAAGACTAATGCTAAACCAGTTTTATTTGAAAGGTCTTAATCAATAGCTAATTACTTAATCTAAGTTTGGTGTTCCTCCAAAAGCACCTTTTAAATGCTTTTTTTAAAAAAAGAAAAGAAAAGAAAGCCTGCATAGAAAGGAAAAGAAAGAAAAAAATAAGAGAGGGCAGCACAAAGAAAGAGTAAGCTAAATTAAATAAAACTAAATATGC